CCGGAGCAGGTGGCCGCGACTTGTCCCCGCCGCGGCCGGCGCTGGAGGAGCCGCCTGGGTCAGAACCCCGGGGGAGGGGAGAATGACGCACCCCAGAAGGGGAGGGTCCCCGAGGAGGAGTCACTGGGCGTCTTGAGCAACTCTGGGGGACCCCGTCCTGCGCTCGGGCTGGCGGTGGAGAGGCGCACGCCCTGCCCCGGCAGGTAGTCGGCGGGGCTTCCCGCGGCAGAGTCACTGCCCAGGACCCAGGGCAAATGGCGAGGGGGCGGGTCCCCTGGCGCCACCCCTGCCCCTCCCCGACGCCTGGACCAGCACCCAGTTCCCTCCACAGGGACAGCTCCGGGATGGCGGCAGAGGGGGCAATGTCCAAGTGACGGGGAAAGTGGGGACGTGGGGTTGGAAGGGGGTACCCTGCTGCCATTTGGAGCTCTGTGAGACCAGAGGGTCGAGGCACCTAGGCTCCCTCCCTCTTTTCTCCTTCTCTCCGTCCGCCCCCCCCTTACCCCCCCATCTCCTTTTCTCTTCTCTTTATTCATTGCCCACGGAGCTGATCTAATGCTGGGAGACAGATAATGGAGCGACAGACACCTAAATCAAACGAAATTGCCCTGGAGTGAGGCGCAGGGACCATTGCTACTTCCATGTTACAGATGAGGAAAAACAGCGTGTTTCAAGGCTTTTTATTAGAAGATAAATGTAGACTTGCTGACAGTTAAAAAATAGCACACAGAGTACCCGTACACCCTTCACTAGCTTTCCTCTAAGTCAGCATCTTCTAACACCTGTAGTTTACACACTGGGAAACTTGCCCCTAACTCCCACAGCTAGCGGCAGGAGTTACCAGGGCTGTCCTCCCAGCCAATAGCCTCCAAGGACTGTGGGTGGTCTTCTAGCTCTGCCTACAAAACCCTTCTAGGGTTCTCCTAGAGAGCAACTTCATCTAACTTGTTGGATTACATTAAACAATTCTCTTACCCTCCCTCTGTCAATAAGATGACCCCTTCCAGCACCGTTTTTTGTGTACATGAGCTTCAGGAGGCTAGAGGAGAGATGTACCAGACAGAAGTTAGAAGGAGAAGGGACTAGCACCCAAGAGAAGTCAAGGGCATTGCCCACAGTTCTTGAAGAGCACCTGGCATGATCCTCCCATTGGAGGAGTGTAGCACCTACGTTCAAGCGGAGGCGAGTTCTTTGAAGTCTGGCATGGACTAGAACACAAAGATGAGCAAGAACTAGATGAAAAAAGAACTAGAGGATATATCCCAAGGAAGTGATACTTCATGATGGAAAAGTGTATGCACCATGTTACCCGAGGGGTAGGATTTGACAATATAGTTGAATTAGTCTTTTCCTCCCAAGCATCTCTATTGTTCCAATCCACCTTCAGTTACAAAACAGTGTCAATATATGGTACTGGTAACTGTACAGTTTGAGAGACTTTAGGAAAGGGGTATCACTAACTCAGATGCCAGGAAATTTGGAAGACAGCTACTTGGCCAACTGGAAAAGATCCATATTTGTACACATTCCAAAGAAAGGTAAGCCAACAGACTGCTCAAACTATAGAACAATATCACTGATATCACATGCCAGTAAACTTTTGCTGATGATCATCCAACAATGGTTGAAGCAGAGTATTGACAGGGAGCTGCCAGAGGTTCAGGTTGGATGTGGAACAGGGGATATCATCCCTGATGTCAAAGCAGAGAATAGCAGAATGGTATTTACTTCTGCTTTACTGATGATGCCAAGTAGACTCTATTCACTATCACTGGGTGGACCATAATGAACCCTGGATAACCTTGACAAGAGTGGGACTTCCAGAACACTTAATTGTGCTCATTCGAAACATGTACATAGATCAAGAGGCAGTTGTATGAACAAAACAAGGGAATCCCTACGGCATGGTTTAAAATCAGGAAAGGTGTGTGTCAGGGCTGTATGTATCTGCTTACCATACCCATTCAAACTGCATGCTGAGCAAATCGTCAGAGAAGTTGGATTATATGAAGAAGACTGTCGCATCAGGATTGGAGGAAGACTTATTAACACCTTTCAATATGCAGATGACACATCCCTGCTTGCTGAAAGTGAGGATGATTTGAAGCACTTGTTGATGAAGATCAAGGATTGCAACCTTCAGTGTGGATTACAACCAATGTAAAGAAAACCAAAATCCTCACAACTGTACTGACTAATCAGCCACACATGATAAATGGAGAAAAGGTAGAAATTGTCAAAAGATTTTTGTCTTGTTTGAACCCACTATCAATGCTCATGGAAGCAGTCAAAAGATAAAAAAGATGAGTTTTTTTTTTTTT